CAGCCCTGTGCACAGCCCGGGAGTAGTCTGGGGTGTGGAGTCTCTGCAGAGCCGGTGCCGAGCTGCTCTGCGTGAAAACCTGGGACTCCTCCGTTTTGGTTAGGGCTTTCAAAAGAAGCAAGGTTTACTTTTGCATTGTCCCGGTTATAATAACATTCTGGTCAGGCTTGATGGGGCTCTGAACAACCTGATCTAGTTATGTCCCTGCTCACTGCAAGAGACTTGGACTAATTGACCTCTAAAGGCCTCTGCTAACCCAACACATTCTATGATTCTGCACGAAGTGAGAGTTCCCTTCACAGTTCTTTTTTAAATTTCTACACATCATTTATAGTTGTTTTATCTTGTGCATCTTTTTGCCCCCTTTTTCTTGTACAAGCTTGAGCTTGCAACTGTTGACTGACAGAAGCTTCCTTTTTGAGTCTTAAAAGGTTACTTGAAGAGGACTTGCATACTGTTCTCTCACTGTTTTTTATTGGGTTTTATCTTTAGGTACTCCGGGCGTTGGGAAAACCACTCTTGGAAAAGAACTTGCATCAAGAACTGGGATGACCTATGTTAATGTGGGTGACATGGCAAAAGAAGGTAGGCCATATGAATAGAGTAGTCCATACTTTAGATATTCTTGCTTTGTGCAACTGTGTGCTTGTAGTGCGTGTATTCTATATTAACAAAAGGGAAATGAACTTGCTTTAACATAAATATTTTTTTGAGCATGAGTTAAAAAAGCATTCTTTAACCTAGCATACTTTATATTAAGTAATAAATAATAAACTTATCTTTATATGGATTTGTAAACAGTGTTCATTGCTCAAATCACTATCTATTGTTTGCATCCTCCTGAAATTAAAGTAACAGTATAATTTTAGTAACTGCTGTTACTTCACAAACTTTCACAAATTATTTTGCTGCAGGAGAACTGTATGAAGGTTTTGATGAGGAATATAATTGTCCGGTTTTGGATGAAGACAGGGTAAGTTCAACTTTAAAACCTATCATTTTTGTATTTTGACTTTCTGTAATTTCAGATAAACTTGCCTGTCTCTGTTTCTTTTGTAGGTAGTTGATGAACTTGAAGATAAAATGAGTGAGGGTGGTGTTATTGTTGATTATCATGGCTGTGATTTTTTCCCTGAACGGTGGTTTCATATAGTCTTTGTACTTCGTACAGAAAACTCGTTTCTGTATGACAGACTTGAAAGCAGGTATGTCAGTAGAGTAAATAAAGAGTAGTTATATGACTTAGTCAGAATTTTTTCTAGGGAGTAAATTACTGATCCTCTGTAGTATACTTTGTAGTTCTCTGCATATCTAAGACTGTTTCTTGGTACTGTTCTTGTTTTCTAGGGGCTACAAAGGGAAAAAGCTTCAAGATAACATTCAGTGTGAAATTTTTCAGATACTTTATGAGGAGGCGATGTCATCATATAGAGGAGAAATGGTGCACCAGTTAACCAGTAACACTCCAGAAGACCTAGAGAGAAATCTGGATCAGATTGTGCGATGGATTGAGCAATGGATGAAGGACAACAATTGACTTTCGGTGAAAAACTCTGCTGGATCGCTTCTTAGGAGGGTTTAATAAGTAACAATAATCATTCTTATATGATAAATTAAAATTGCTTTTATTGTGATTTGATATGGCTGGGGACTAGAAGAAGGTTCAGAATAGCTAGACTGTTAAGAACACCTTTGAAGGACTCTGGGAGAGGCACACAGAACTGATATAAGTGAAGATTCAGCAGTGAATGAAAGGATGAAGATGACACAGTTGCCCTTAGTGGCAGCAACTAGGTTCAATAATTGTGAATTTTTTGGAGCTTACAATTAAAGCCAAATGTTCCCATCTTTGCCTTTAAGAAATCTGTAAAATCCAGACAACTGATGGCAGTTGAGCAGCTTGTGTTTTCTAAAGGGTAAAACAGCATTCTGAGAAGCAGTTAGTCCCTTTCTTAAGCTTTAAACTAAAACTTGCTGTGCTGCACTTATTCTTCAGTGTGTGGGGTCTAATGTAGAGTGAGAGCTGTGTGCTACAGTTTAAGGAGGGTACTTTATTTTGGAGGAAAGAAGAGACTTGGTAAGATATTTTAAAATTATTACACTTAGAATTACTTACAATGTAAGGAAACAGCTGTACCTGCTCTGGTGTGGAATATTATGCAGTAAGTTTTCTTTCTCCTTTTCCTCTCTTTATTCTCCATCACTTATCTCAATCACAGAACATATTTATCACTGTAAATTTATCAAGGAAATATGTCATTTGGCAAGATAATGAACCTGCAGCAATCTGCAGCACTTAAAATTTTGCAGCCATCTGTTCTACGCTTGTCAAGTGTGGGTCCCAGGAGAGCGTTGCTGTGCAAAGTTGAAATAACCTCTCTTTGCGGAGAAGATGGCTTGTAAAGCCTTTTAAGAGATTCTGTACAAAGTGCATGCTGACAAAATTTTTATATATACAAGTTTGAATAATAAAACTCCTACTTGCTTGAAAATTTATATTGTAAAGAGTATTATGATTATATATTTAAGACTTTTTGTTTTATTCCAAATTTGGTATAGGCTTTTTGTGAGATTTACTGAGAATACTGTATCAGCAATTTGACTCTTGTATAAACCAAAATGGTGAAAAATCTGGAGTTTTCTTGCAGAATGGGGACCAAATGCTGTGGAAATGCACACATGCTTGCGTTGCTCTTGACCAGCCACTTTCAGGGTTATTGCTTGAACAGGAATCCAGGTGGAGGATGGCATGGAGGTGTCTGGACACCACCAGATCTTGAGAATGCTGTGACTGGCCACGTCTTGTACAGCAAAACCACGTTTCTCAGCGCTGCTTGGGATTTTTGTGAACGTTGTTGTGGCTGAAGCGGGGCTGTAAGCAGAAAACAGCCCCCGTCAATACAAAACCAAAACCCCACCACCACTCCCTCCGCTTGCCATTGAGTCTCCGTGCTCCCAGCGGCCTCCCGGGGAAGTGTCGCTGCCTTTCCGGGTGCCGGGGGGGCTACGCGGTGTTCCTGCCCGCGCCGGGGCGGCACCAACAACGCCACGGCCGGGCGGGCAGGTGGGTCGGACGGGGAGGGCTTGTGGGAG